GGTGAATTTGCTTCTTTTTGTTCTAGAGCTTTCAGGTGTATTATTAAGTCACTAGTGTGATATTTCTCCAAATTCTTCATGTAGGCACTTAGTGCTATGAACTTTGTTTTTAGCACTGCTTTCATACTGTCCGGTAAGTTTGAGTTTGTTGTGCATTGATTTTCTTTGAATTCTAGGAAGTCTTTTATTTCTTTCTTTCTTTCTTCCTTGACCAGTGATGATTGAGTTGAGCATTGTTCAGTTTCCATAAGTTTATAGGCTTTCTGTATTTTGTGATATTGCTTAAGTCCATTAGAGTCATAGTATCTGTTAGATCCCTTATTTCTCTGTTAGGTTTCTGTCTGGCAGACCTGTCCATTGGTGAGAGTGGGTTGTTGAAGTCTCCCACTATTAGTGTATGGGGTTTGATGAAAGATTTAAGCTTTAGTAACGTTTCTTTTACAAATATGGGTGCCCTTATATTTGGGACATAAATGTTCAGAATTGAGACTTCATCTTGATGGATTCTTTTTCCTGTGATGAACATGAAATGTTCTTTATCTCTTTTAATTAATTTTAGTTTGAAGTCTAATATGTTAGTTATTAGGATAGCTACACCAGCTTGTTTCTTAGGTCCATTTGCTTGAAAAGTTTTTTTCCCAACCCTTTACTCTGACTCAATGTCTGTCTTTTAAGTTGAGGTATGTTTCTTGTATGCAGCAGAAGGATGGATCCTGTTTTCATATCCGTTCTGTTAGCACATGTCTTGTAATGGGTGAATTGAGTCCATTGATACTAAGAGATGTTAATGTCCAGTGACTTTTAATTCCTGTTATTTTTTGGTTTTGTTCTTGTTGGCAATGCATGTGTGTTTCCCTTCTTTGGGATTTGCTGGTGGTGTGGGATTATCTATTGCCTGTGTTTTCATGGGTGCTGCTAACTTTTTTTTTTTAAGATTTATTTATTATGTATACAGTGTTCTGCCTGTATATATATATCGCTGCACACCAGAAGAGGGCACCAGATGTTATTACATATGGTTGTGAGCCACCACGTGGTTGCTGGGAATTGAACTCAGGACCTGTGGAAGAGCAGCCAGTGCTCTTAACCTCTGACCCATCTCTCCAGCTGCCTGCTGCTAACTTCTTTGAGTTGGGAGTTTTCCTTCTAGTACTTCCTGTAGGGCTGGATTTTTGGATAAGTATTGTTTAAATCTGGTTTTCTCCATCTGTGGTGATGGAAAGTTTCGCTGAGTATGGTAGTCTGGACTGGCATCCATAGTCTCTTAGTGTCCTGGACATTTGTCTAGGACCTTCTGATTTTCAGAATCTCTGTTGAGAAGTAAGGTGTAATTCTGATAGGTCTGCCTTTATATGTTACTTGGCCTTTTTACTTTGCAGCTCTTAATATTCTTTCTTTATTTTGTATTTTTAATGTTCTGATTATATGGTGAGAACTTTTTTTTTTTTTGGCTCAGTCTATTTGATGTTCTGTATGCTTCTTTTATCTTTTCTTAAAGTTTTTATTTATTTATTATGTGTACAGTCTTCTGCCTGCAGAGGGCACCAGATCTCATTCAAGGTGGTTGCTGGGAATTGAACTCAGGACCTCTGGAAGAACAGTCAGTGCTCTTAACCTCTGAGCCATCTCTCCAGCCCCTGCTTCTTGTGTATGATTTTGTTGAATTTATTTTCTGTGCCTTTGTGCTGGAGTTCTTCTTTTATCCCTATTCTTAGGTTTGGTCTTTTCATGGTGTCACAGATTTCCTGGATGTGTGTTAAGAATTTGTTGAATTTAACATTTTCTTTGACCAATGAATCTATTTCCTCTATCATATCTTCAATGCTTGGGATTCTCTCTTCTGTCTCTTGTATTCTGCTGGTTATACATGCATCTGTATTTCTTATTCATTTGCCCAGGTTTTCATCTGCAGAATTCCCTCAGTTTGTGTTTTCTTTATTGCCTCTATTTCAGTTTTCGAATCTTGAACTGTTTCCTTCACCTGTTTTTTTCTTGAAGGGATTTATTGATTTCTTCTAATTTTTTGTTTGTCTTTTCCTCGATTTCTTTAAGGGGATTTTTCATTTCTTCTTTAAGGGCCTCTATCATCTTCATAAAGTTATTTTTAAGGTCATTTTCTTCTGCTTGGGATGTCCAGGTCTTGCTATTGTAGAACCAGTAGGTAATGGTGCTGTGACATTGCTCTTGGTGTTGTTGAATATATTCTTACACTGCTGTCTACCCATCTGGGTTTGGGATAATTATAGGTACAGATGCTGATTCTTGTAATGTCTTTGTTGAATGGGTCTTTTGTTCTTTTATTGTCTGTTTCCTTTATTGTCTTTTGTCCTGAATGGCCAAAGGTTGTCAAGTCGAGCAGGGTTGTCTCACCTGAGTTTTGTAGGGATTTGGATGCCTAGATCACAGCATATCCTCCAGTTCTTCTGGCTGGTGTGGGCTTTACTTGTGCCTATGAGGTCTATTCCTTTAACTGGTGTGGGTTGTGCATGTGGGTGTGCCTGTTCTTCCAGCTGGTATGAGTGGAGCCTGTAGGGTCTGTTGATGTTGCTGGAGAGGGCTGTTCATGGGGTTAGGGTTAGGGCTAGGGCTAGGGGTTAGGGTTAATCATAAATCTTTCCGCCAAAAGCCGCCGAACCACACCGCCACGTGTGCGTTTTACGCCAGCAGCCCGCCCGCCCAAGTTTGGGCCCATATTAATACACAGAAACTTGTATTAGGTTCAAATGCTGCTTGGCCAATTGCTAGGATTTCTCATCTGTTAGCTCAGTCTTAATTATCATAAATCTACATATTTTATAAGACTTATCTTATAGAGGATGCCTTCTGCTGGCACCCTCTCTTGCCAGTGGCTCACATGGCGCTCTGCTGGAGCAAGAGCAGAGGAGAAAAGGGAACACTTCCTGTTTCTCCTTTCTTAAATATGAGTCTCCTTGCTATGTCACTTCCTGCCTGGAACATCATTTCTCTACTACATTTCCCAGAATCCTCTTTGACTCCTAGTCCTGTCTAACTTGCTGTTTCATTGGCCAAACAGAGCTTTATTCAACAATCAATAAGATAAACATACACAGAAGTACTTCCCCCATCAGGTTAGGGGTTAGGGGTTAGAGGTTAGAGGTTAGAGGTTAGAGGTTAGGGTTAAGGTTAGGGCTAGGGAGGCTGCTCTTCTTCCAGTTGGTGCAGGTGGTGCTTGTACCTCTAGGGGCTGCTGATCTTGGGGATGGGGGTTGGTTAGCCATGGGGAGAATGATGGGTTTTGTGGTTTGGACAGTGTAGTGGTCTTGTAGGTTACAGAGCTACTTACTTGTTGGTGAAGCAGCCTGCCTGCAGGACTCTTAACCTGATGGCTGGCTGCTGGGACTGAGAGGGAGGGGGATGGGTAGGGAGACGGATGTACCCTCAGGTTTAGGGCCTAGGGATTGGGGCAGTTTAGCTGGGAGAGCAGTCATTCACCTCTTCTCCCAATTGGTGCAGGTGGTGTTTGTGCCTCTAGGAGCTGTTGATCTTGCAGGGGAGGGGAATGTTTGGCCAGGGGGAGAATGATGGGTTTTGGTGGGTTTGGGCAGTAGAGTGGGTCTTGTAGGATCCAGTGTCCAGTGGGTGGCAGTGGTGGTAGAGTGACTTTTACCTGCTGGCTGACTGCTAGGGCTCATACTTTTTTTTTTTATATTGTGTCTTTTATTTACTTTCTCATTAAACTTTAATGGATCTCTAATGGTTGTTTGTTTGTTTTGGTTTTTTTAAAGATGGAGTCTCACTGTGTAGTCCAGTCTGGCTAGAAGCATGTTCTGTAGACCCTGCTGACCTTGATTTAATCCCCCACCTCAGCCTCCTGAATGGCCAGTTTAAAGACTTGCACTACTATGCCCAATATCTATTTTATTTCCTTTTCTTTTTTAAACATTGATTGTTGATATCAAAGCAGGCTGCAATTTGATGCTGGAGTACCGTAATATACCATAAGCCGGCTCCCAAATCCTGACACGGACACTTATTAGTTATGAATGCTAGGCCTTATCTTACACCTGTCCCACTGGCTCTTACATCTTAACCTGTTTCTCTTCATCTATGTTTTGCCTCAAGGTTCCTTCCTTCCTTCCTTCCTTCCTTCCTTCCCTCCCTCCTCCCTCCCTCCCTCCCTCCCTCCCTCCTTCTTTCATTCGTTCGTCTGTTCTGTTCTGTTCTACTTTCACTGATTCTCATGTCTGGCTGGCTGGCTACTGGGCATAGGTTCTGGCCCTGGGCATGTCCCTCTCTTTCTCCTTCTTTTCTCTCGAGCCTGTCTGTCTCCTGACTATTGGCCAGTCAGCTTTTTATTAGACCAATCAGATGCCTTAGGCAGACAAGGTGAAACAAATGCAGCACACCTTTACATAATTAAACAAATACAGCATAAACAAATTTGACACATCTTTGCATCATTAACAAAGGCAGCATAAACAAATGTAACACACCTTTACACAATATTTCACAACATAAAGGCCATCTAAATTGTACTTTAAAATCATGTTCTACTGGAATTCAAGGATCTTTCATGTCCTACATTCCACTGAATAATGTTTCTGAAATTCCTAAACTGCAGAAGGAATTTGTTGTTAACATGAATTCAAATTAGAGAGCATGGTGTTGATAAGGGTGTGAATGTCAGTAACAGCTGCCACTGCTGCTTAAAATAATGTCCTCCTTCTCACACAGCTGTGGGTTTTTCTTGACACTCCTCATGTTCAGACCTGCCTAAGAAAGCCCTGAAGGCATAGTAGAAACATGATCTGTACAGACAGTTGAAATCTGGAGGAGTTAAACATCGAGTAGTCTTTCCCTAGATTACATAATACCAAAAGTGAAAACAAATCGTTTCCATGGAGAGGACCTAGGTGACCACTGGAGACTTGAGGGTATTGTAATCTGTAATCTTCCAGCTGATCTTGATAATATGTGAGGACAACCAGTGCTTAAGATTTTTTTCTTTTTCAAATGTTTCCTATAATTTTGCTTCTCAGGGAAGAGGTAAATGACAAATTACGGGACATGCCAGATGGTACCTTCTTAGTTCGTGATGCCTCAACAAAATTGCAGGGGGACTACACGTTGACTCTTAGGTGAGTGCTTTCCTGCCTTTGCTAGTGTCCTCCTAGCATAAGTATATATAGAGTTCTGTATTTTGCGTAAATCTTTTTTATATTTTCCATATTTTATTTAATTTAGATATATAATTTTTAGTTTAGCTCACATTTAACTTTAAAATCCCTTTCCTGTACAAAAAATGTTTAAATATATAATACCTGTTTTATTTTAATATTTTAAATGTATGTAGCAATAAAATAAAAAGGCTAAAATTTCCTAAATGTTATGGAATAAGGAATATATTATCTCATTCTCTTACTTCATTAATGAAGTAAATGTCATGGGTATAGCTCAAGGTTATTAATGAGCCTGTCTAAAAAACTCTATTTTTTTCCTAATGTGGGGTCTAGGAAGTAGAATTCAGCATAATTTTGACAGTTTAGGATATGTAGACAATAAAACAGCTCTCAGCATGTGTTGTGCCTTTCATGTAGATAGATTAGTGTTTTATAAATGCTAGAAATATGAAATTTTATACTTATAAAGATGGGACATATATTAAAAACAGGCTAAGAGAAACTTTGTTAGATATTTCAACATTTATTTTTAATCATTAGAGTCACATAGTTGGGGGCTGGAGAGCTGGCTCAGTATTTAAGAGCATATATATATTGCTCTTGAGGCCCTGATTTTGGTGGTTCTTTGTACCCACATTAGGTGGCCCACAAGTGCCTGTAACTGCAGCTCCAGAAGATCTGATACCCTCTTCTGACCTCCATAACATATGCATAATTTAAGTAAAAATTAAACTCACCCAATTATAATAAAGTTTAGTGATTTGTTTGTCTAATATTAGTGATTAATTCATTCCCTCATTCATAAAGGCTTCATATATACTAGGCAAGCACTCTACCACTATATCCCCAGCTGTTATTTATTGAGGCAGAGCCTTACTTACTGTGTAGCTCTGGCTAAATTAGAACTCATTATGTAGACGAAACTGGCCTTGACCTCAAGAGAGCCTCCTGCCTCTACCTCCCTGTGCTAGAATTAAAGGATTAAAGGTGTGTGTGAGGCATGTGTGTGGGCACATCTGCCATAGCACACCTGTGGAAGTCGAAGGACAACTTGTGGGTTCTTTCTCCACCTTTAATTGGGTACTGTGAAACAAACCTTGTTTCCAGGTTTGTACAGTAAATGCCTTTACCCACTTCGCCATCTCACTGGACCTCTAAAATTTTTCTTTTTCTTCTCCCTAAGACAGGATTTCTCCGTGTAGTCCTGGCTGTTCTGGAACTTGCTCTATAGATCAGGCTGGCTTTGAACTTAGAGACCCACCTGCCCCTGCCTCCCAGGTGCTGGGATTTAAGGCATGTGCCACCTCGCCTGGTTAGAAAATGTTTTTAATCTCACTGAGATGCTATTTTATCCCCAAATTCTTACTCATATCTAACTAAAATTGTGCTTAAAAGTAAAGCCTGTAAATGTTACATAACCATGCACTCAGTTTTAGTATTCTTTAGGAATAAAGCAGTACTTCCTAGTCTAGGTCCACCTTTAGGATTTGATGCTAAAAAGAATTAGGTTGGAGAGTTGGGTCAGTGGTTAGGAACACTGCTGCAGAAGACCTGGGTTCAATTCCCAGCACCCAGATGGGCAGCTCACAACCAACCCTCTGAGGTTTCAGTTGTAGGAGGTACCATTCATGCCTTGGGTGTACATATAAACATATAAGCAAAACACTTGTATACACATAATAGGTTTTTTTTTAGATTTTATTTATTTATTATGTATACAACATTCTGTTTCCATGTATATCTACACACCAGAAGGCACCAGATCTCATAACTGGATGGTTGTGAGCCACCAAGTGGTTGCTGGGAATTGAACTCAGGAGCTCTGGAAGAGCAGCTGGTGCTCTTAACCTCTGAGCCATCTCTCCAGTCCCCAATTGTTTTGTTTTTTGAGACAATGTTTTTCTATGTAACAGCCCTGGCTGTTCTGGAACTCATTTTGTAGATCAAACCAGTCTCAAGAGACTTGCCTGCCTCTGCCTCCTGAGTGCTGGGATTAAAGGTGTGCTTTAATACCTGGCTTTAATAATAAAATAATTTTTTTCAAAAATTAAAGGTATTATCAATATTTCCTAGTTTACATGGGATTCTCTAGGTGTAGGAATTCCTTGAATAGCATTGCTCAAAAAGGGGGCCTGTGATATTCTTTAGAGGCAGTTCATTTTATTGTTGGGCAGTAATAAAATTTACAAGATTATCTTTGCATGGGGTATTGTTTCTAGGATTGAGAATATTGCATGGGTTTACCCTGAATAGTTTATAATCTAAGTGTGTAATTGTGGAGTAGGAGAAATAAACATTCCCTGTATCTTAATTGTTTCATTAGAGTTCATCCAATTTCCCCATCTTTCTTCCTCTTCCTCGTTCTTGTTCTCTTTCTCTTTGTTTTTCTTTGGTTTGTTTGTTTTGAGACAAGATCTCTCTAAATACCCCTGGCTGTACCAGAACTTGCTATGTAGACTAGACTGGCATCTGCCTGCTCTGCCTTCCAAGTATTTAGAGTAAAGATGTGTGCCACCATGCTCAACTCCTTCTTTTTAACCCCTGTAACTATTCTACTTTCTGTCTCTAAATTTTATTATTTCAGGGGCCTCATAAATAGGATAATGCAGTATTTATCCTTCTGTGTCTTGCTTATCATTCTTCAGTTTAACATCTTTAAGGTTCATATATGTTATAGCATGGGTTTGAATTGTATTACCAATAAGGCTGAATAATATTCTGTTGTATGCATATATTTATTCATTAGTTGATAGATGTTGGCAAGGATGCTTTAAGGTTTCCATCCATCTAGAAAAGATTGGCAAATAGCTGGTTTTCAGTAAATATTTGAATAGAGGATAGATTAAATGAGAGGACAAGGAAACTTTCTCAGAGGAAACGGCATTTGAACTGTCCCTTTGTTGGTTTTGCTAGGCAGACAAATGATGGGCTTAATTAAGTTTAATAACTACTTAATCTCAGTTATATTTAATTACACAGGTCATCTAACAAGTTAAATCTTTTGTATGTTGTAACTCCCACCCAGGAGGCAAAGTCAGGAGGATTATAAATTCAACCTTACCTGGGTAACTTACTATCTCAAAAAAAAAGTGAAGGGTGGAAGGAAGAGTGCTGGCTATTCTTCCAGAGGGCCTGAGTTCAGTTCCCATCATGCACATGGCAGCTTACAACTATGTGTAACTCCAGTTCCAAAGTATCTGGTATTCTCTTCTGACGTGTATGAGCACCAGGGAAGCACATGATGCACAGATATACATGCACATTAAAAAAATTAAAATAGGATGGACATACAGCTTAGTGCTGGAGTGCTTGCTTAATATGAATGGGGGCCCTAGGTTCCATCTCCAGTGCTGCCAGAATAACAAAACAAAACAAGCCTGGCATTGGTGGCGCATGCCTTTAATCCCAGCACTTGGGAGGCAGAGGCAGAGGCAGGCAGATCTCTATGAGTTTGAAGCCAGCCTGCTTTATAGAGCAAGTTCCAGGACACCCTCCAAAGCTACACAGAGAAACCCTGTCTCGAAGAACAAACCAAAAAACCCAACAAGTTTTGCCTAATGGACCACTTAGGCAGGTAAAGACAAAGGAAGTAAGAAAGCTGTATTGAACAAGAGTTCAAATAAAAACTGAGTTTGAGGCCAGCCTGACGTACATAGTGAGTTCCAGACCAGCTAGGGCTGCACAATGAGAAGCTGTCATGAAATAAAAGCAACAGCAGCAGCAACAAGAAGCTGGTGACTGGGGAGATGGCTTACTGGGTGTTTGCTGCCAAGCCTGATGAACTTGTTCAACTCTGGGAGCCTCAGGGTGGAAGGAAAGAACCACTCCTGAACATTGTCCCATGACCTCCATAAACAATGTGATACATGAAGATAATACATTTTCTTTCTAAAGGAAGAAAGGAGCTGGTATTCTTCTTAGATGGTAGAGTGCTTGTCTACACACATGAATCCCTAAATTGCATCTCCAAAACTGGAGGTGGGAACAGGACAGTTTAGAGTTAAGCTATTCTTGGCTAGTAGAGTTAGCTGGCAGCCTGGCTACCTGAGACCCTTCTCAGAACAACACCCCCTCATATACAGAAAAGGAAAGAAAGAGCCGGAAGAGAAGGAAGGACTGGGGCCAAGGAGACAGAGCCTGGATTTGGTGAAAGTTACTGGTGATCCTTCCATGCAAGAGATGAAAGTGAAACTGGATGTAGAGAATAGCAGTGAAGAAGCTTTCAGGTCCTTAGCCCAGGTTTAGCTGGGGTTGGTGGGATGACTCAGTAGTTAAAGGCACTTGTTGTGCAAAGCCTAGCAGCTTAAGTTCAATCTTCAGAGACCATTCCTCCAATAATGATATATTTTAAAAGACAAACATAAAACAACTGTATAAACTTAGTACCCAGATGGTCTATTAAAAAAAAGAAAAAAGAAAAAGTATCCCCACCAGGATGGCCTGTGGGCAAGCATGCAGTACATATTCTTGATTGATGATTAATGTAGGAGGGGCCAGTTCACCATGGGTGGAGCCACCGCTGGGCTGGTGGTCCTGGGTACTATATAAAGCAGGCTGAGCAAGCCATGGAGAACAAAACAATAAGCAGCTCCCCTCCATGGCCTCTGCATCGGCTCCTGCCTCCAGGTTCCTGCCCTGTTTGAGTTCTTGTCCTGACTTCCCTCAGTGATGAACTGTTACCTGGAAGTATAAGCTTAAATAAACCCTTCCCCACCTCCAAAAAAAAAAGGATACTATGTAATTAAAAATGTCTAGAATTTATTGTATGCCTGGTATTGACCAGGTGCTAGGATACAAAGAGGAATATTACTATTCCTTGGTTTAAGATTAAACTAAGGGAGAGAGACATAACTAAAAATTCATGAAGATGTGTCTTCATTTCTCTACTGCTCTGCTTAGAGTCCATGGTCCGTTATTATAATGATCTCTGTAAAAATACAATTTTTAAAATGTCAATA